ACTCTCAGACTGAAGAAGTCTCTTGGAGGAGAGACGAAACGTTTCATTAGAGAAGAACCCGTCCAGAAGACCTATACAATTTTTTTCTTTTTAAATTATCCAGACGAACTCCTGGAAAAATTCATCATGTCTACCCCTGTAATGCAATACTGAACCAAATTATGACTAGGCCTGTCACAATAACAAATTTTACTGGATGATAAATTATCTCAGAAATTTCTGCGATAAACAATAATGTTGTTGGAGACCGGTTTAAACTAATATAATGATATCACCCCCTTTTAAGTACGTTTGCATTAAAATTTACACAGTGTAAAAAGAGAAAAACAACTGTCGGTAATCCCAAGGCGTCGCCAGCTGTATGAAGGTCTCAGAAAACTGAAGACGCTCCTCTGGCTAAATATTACAGAGGTTAGGAGACCATCACCTGGCAAATACTTGACACCAGAGTTCACTCCTCTCTACGCTAAGGAGTAAAAAAAAAAAAAAAAGAGGGAGACATGAAAAAAAATAAGCAAGCAGGCAAATGAAAATTATTGTCTTCATTTTAATTTGTCTTCCTCAATTTAATTTATCATACGATTAATTGATTTACTGTTTATTGTGACAGGCCTAATCATGAACAAAAAGAATAGAAATCAATTGCCTTCTCTTACACTAGTTATTATTCTTTCTCACTGCAGGATGATGCACTTCAAACAGTTTGAAAACAACCTCTCCCACAATGATGGACAGCATTACTGATGTCTTTCCTTAGCAAATTAATGCATACCTGAACGCTTCATCTTACAGAGGTGGTCACACTGCTGTGGATCAGTTAAACTGTATATTTAATTAAAGTTCTGGCTGCTCCTAAGAAGTGCTTTGTTTGGACTTTGTTTTGTTAAACTGTGACGTAGTGGAACCTGTTGTTGTGCACAAGTCTCACGATTGGCTAGTTTATTGTAATAAAAAGCAATTCCTGGGAAACTAAAGACAACGGACTGGGGAGCAAAGCTTCAGAGTGATGCTCCGTGGGGGACTCACATGTGTGCAGGCACTCTGTGATGGTGGTGGCGTCGATGAGGAAACCGCAGCAAAGCGCGCAGCGAATATATGGATAAAACTGACTGAGGGCCAGTTTGGGCTGTTGAAACGACAGCAGGTCAAAAGGTTGGTGCTTTGTGACAACATTTCTATCGTGATGCATGTATACTACATTGAAAGACAAGTTGTTATCATGAAAAGTGAGTGCGGCCGAAGCTCCATTAGGTCAAAAACAATACCCACCTCGTCCTCTGTGTCGCTGCATGATGTGTTCGCGGTCCCGTCGTGGCTTCTATGGGAGTACTGACGTGATGCCATACCCGGCAAGTGCCAACCTCACTGTATTCACTTAGATAATACTTTTTACAGCATATGGTATATCGTGTCTGAGAGATTAAAGTCAGCCGTGCTCTTGGGTTTTTCTTTTCTACGTGAAACTTTTTGCTAAGAAACTACGCGGGACGGCTCGGCTAGCATTAGCTTCTCTGCAAGTTGGGAATCCTCTTCTTCTTCTTCTATTTATTTGCAGTTAAAGCATTACCGCCACCTACTGGTAGGAGTGGGAATCAACGCCTCCAGCTTCTAGATGCAGTATTTTTTATTTATGTATTTTATTTTATTGTTGTTTAATTGGAAAAATATGGGTGTCTTATTAATCAATTATATCAGTATCCTTTTCATAATAAACACTTATTTTATTTTAATAATGCTCTACAGGAGAGTGGCTGTGGGGGTGAATTTCTGTTGCAGGTCTTATAGTTGGCCACTAGATGGCAGTGTAAACCATATTATTTCCAACATGGGACAAAAATACTACACCATTCTGCGTTTCTGAAAGTTCACGTTAGGTCAAGTGAAAAAAGATACAAAATATCTGTAAGTACAAACAGTGTAGAAAGAATCTCCTATGAATAAACTTATTTTTAACAAGGTAAATTAAAATGAAATGAGATTGTTTCTGTCAGTGTCAGCTTTAAGAGCTCTAAATTTATCTAAAGCATGAATGTGTATAGGACTTTTAAACTACACACCAACCTAGAACGGTCACCACTTATCTGTCTTCCAAGAACTTTATTCTTTGTAAGAGTGTAAGAGTGTCATTTACCAGAACATTAGGTCAAGTTTCACATCTTCTTTCCTGCAGCTCAGCAACAGCTACTTTAAACTAAGAGTAGTAAAAGTCTTTAATAGACATTTCTTTTTTATTTTTTATCATCAGACAAACATATTTATTTGTTTTAAAACTAAAACCTTTTTACAATTAATCAAAAAGAAAAATAAGTAAGTCCTCAAGATGGGTTCTTCTTTGACGAAACGTTTCGTCTCTCCTCCAAGAGACTTCTTCAGTCTGAGGAGTTTCAGGTGAACTCAGCCTTATAAGCTCTTCCTCCACATGGTGGACAAACAGGTTGGTCACATGAAAAAGAGGACCATCAGCCAAACAGTAGGTCGTTAGAGTCTCAGTTAGCTCTATTGTTCATAGAGGGTCATGTGCAAGTAGGGGTCTCTGCGGACGAGTGGGCGTGTCCCAACGAAAGGCGATTCTAAAGCGACACACCTGATTTGACGGACTTTTTTTAAGGGACACATCTGACTGGACAAGCAAAAAAAGGGGGCGTCACCGTACGGCACCACCTGATTGGACAAGAACAAAAGGGGCATTGCTGTACGGCACCACTTTTTCTGGAGAACCCTACATGGGTCACATTTCTCCTGGTTAACCTTAGTGTTGGGGTCAGGGTCAGGCTGTAAAGAGGTCAAGCAGGGTCTAAGGATACCGTCATGTAGGCCTTGTAACCCACAGTGTTTATGCTTTAGACACGCCCGCTCTTGTGACACGCCCACTTTGATTCTGCAGATAACCCCTTCTCTCATGTGCCCATCACCGATCCACACCTTTTGCTCACAGGGGGCGGAGTCATACTTGCAATAACAGCACTGTAGGAGGGGACATGAAGGCCTCCACCTCTGTTTAATGGTGGACATTTTTTCTTCCCAAAGATACTTTTGTTTTAAGTTTCTCTACAAAAATGCATCTCTCTGTTGTATATGGGGGATGAACAAGAAGATTTAATTTATTTGGCGATAGTGATGAGAGTATTCTGATGACTGCAGAGTTATTAATAAGCACCACAGAGTTGATTTCTTTTTCTTAGGTTGGGCTTTAGGGGGACAAGTTTTTCTGATCTCTGCAGCCGGTGGGCCTTGTAGAGCTTTATCAAGTGTTTACAGACCCACTCTGTGGCTGCATTGAGCAGATCAGCCTAGAGAAGGCATTTGAGGTATAGAGGTGCCATAAAACAAGAGCACGCTGGGTGACAACAGGGCAACAGCACCTTCACAGGCTGAACCACCGGAGGCCCATCAGGGGACATTCCTAATAGACTTGTATGCCATTCTACCCCTGGTTTAGGGAGACGTACTGTAGTTTATGGTTAAAGCTGGCTTTAAAGTAGCATACAATTATTTTAAGACATTAATAAATCTCAAAAGCTTTCGCGGACCACATAAAATCCCATGGCAGGCCAACATTTGGCCCACAGTCCTCGACTGTGACGCATGTGCCCCAAGTGTAGCGGCGAGTAGCTTCTCATTTGTGAAACGACCACGTCCAAAGACACAAACTGTGGTCATAAGATGCTGATTTATTTCAGAAGGGTCAAATTATTGGCGTCAAGCACAGAAAAGATCTAAGGAGATTGCTGAAACTAAAATCAGGTGAAGAACTGCCCATCGCTTTATTAAAAACTGGAAGGACAGTGAGGAAAAAAACATCATCTTCAATGAAGGGATGTGGTTGGAGAAAAGTCACGAATGATCGTGATGGGCGATCACTTAGACATTTGGTGAAATCAAATCGTAGAAAAACAACAGCTGAACTCTGTTCCACAAACAATACGAAGGGAACTCAAGGGATTTTTACTAAACAGCTGTGCAATAAAACCACTTATCAGTGAGGATAATCAGAAGAAAACATCTTCTATTTGCTCTGAAGCATAAAGACTGGACTCAGGAGCAATGGAAGAAGGTCATGTGGTCTGACGAGTCCAACAGATGTGTTTTTTTTTTCTTTTTTACACTAAATTTGAACGTAAACCTCCATAAACAGGGGGTTATATCATTGTATTAGTTTAAACTGGTCTCCAAATAATATTATCATCTATCGCAAATAATTTCTGAGACAATTTATCGTCCAGTAAAATTTGTCATTGTGACTGGCCAATTGAACATGACTTAAAAAAATCACCAGATTATTCGTTTAACTGTGTGATATATAATGAAATAGTTTTTAAAGCATAATTCTTAAGGTTTTAAATCACGTTTTTGTCTCCTTTGTGGATAAAGCAGTTCAAATTTAGTTTGACAATGAAACCTGAGCTCCCAGCTGGTCCAGTTCACGGCATGATTTCTGGACTTGGACAGGGAGTATCATCATCATCATCATCATCATCATCATCTTCGTCATTATCACTATCCTCCTCTTCCTCCTCGCAGCCCACGGGAGCCGTGGGGAGCTGCGTGACTGTTCGCTGCTGTGGCCGCTTCCGCATGCGCAGTGTGGGCGGAACACGAGCTCTGACTCAGCTGTGAGTCACCGCACGACACGTCTGTGTCACACTGCCGCTGCCTTCAAGGACCGTGGGATTAAAGGCTACTCAATGTGAACGCGCTTGGTTTATCTACATGATTGATTTGAAGTGAGCAGAAGTTACCCGAAAAGTGATTAAATCTCACTTTGGACTGGAAGTAGACAGCATAGTTTGTTAAATTCAATAAACTCTGCCAATGAAAAGATTTTAAGAAATGTAACAGCATCTAAAGGATTAGGCTATCATCTAAAACTGGATGCAAGAATAACCAACAGACCTTACGTGTCACAATTGATAAAAAAAAATAATTTTTCTTTAAAAAAAAACACAAATTCTATATACAATAATAGGTATTAAACAAAACAAAATTAATAGGAACTTTTGATACTGAAATGCAATTAATTACATCCAAATGCCCATTTTAATTTAAACAAGTTTCATAAATACAACATGGACTGCTTGTTTACTAGCAGTCAGGTGAGTTACGTACCAGTAACACACGTGACTCTCAGTTCGGGATATTCCTGAGGCCACACTTCCGTGATCTCCACGGAAAATACCGGGGGGAAAAACCCGAGTCATTTTTTAAATTTTAATTATTAATTTTAAATTGGTGGAAAGTTTTATTAAATACCCAGTTCTGACAACACGTTTTATTTCTGCTTTAAAGATTCCCAGGGAAAAGGAGTCAGGACGTTATCGTCTTATTTCCTACGTTTCTGTTGACGCCTGAACGCAGCACCAAAAAACTAGCTGATCTAACATAACTTGGCGTCCCTACGCTTCTGCTGACACCTGAACGCAGCACCGGACGAGTTGACATGACTTGGCAGTCATTGCGGTGAGACGTTCAGGGAGACGTCGGCCTGGGGCTGAATAAGTGGGCACTAAGGGGGTTCCAGGTTTTGACGGAATGAGATTTGTCCTTTGATAAAGCCTTCTGGGACCCTCTTTTACACCTGTTTGTCTACTTCAGCACCGTGCTGGACGGGTCTACTGAGGGTGAGTGTCTAATTCACTCTTGCGGTGAATCAGTCAGTCAGTCAGGGTTCCCTGGCTGGTGGGTCTCTGTTAGTTTTCTGTGTTTGTTACTTTCGTGTTTTAACGTCTTAGAAAGTGTCTATTTTGTTAACAAGAGAAGCGTTTAACGAATGGGAAAGCGTCTTGTTGTCTGTCTCAATAAGTCAAAGCTTTTAGAAGCGGAAAAACTGCGTGGAATTCCCGTTACGCGTTATACGCGCTGACAGCCGCGTACTGCCAAACTCCCCCGGAAAAAAAGCAATATTTAGTGTTTGAACATAATTTAAAAGCTGGTCTGATACAAGTTAGGAAAACATCTGTGCTTTCATACGAATTGTTGATGCTCTTCAAATC